TCTACCTCTCCCTTGCCCCTCCCCCAGCTCTCACTCACTCTCTAAAATAAATAAATAAATCTTAAAAAAAAAAAAGTTAATACCCATTCTTCTCAAACCATTCCAAAAAAAATACAAGAGGAAGGAAATTTTCCAAGTTCATGCTTTGAAGCCAGTATCACCCTGATACCAAAACCAGATAAAGACCCCACAAAAAAAAGAGAACTACAGGCTAATATCTTTCATGAATATAGACACAAAAATCCTCAACAAAATATTAGTAAACCAAATCCAATGATATACTAAAAAAATCATACCACAATCAAGTGGGATTTATTCCCACGATACAAGGGTAGTTTAATATTCACAAAACAATCGATGTGATACATCACATCAGTAACAGAAAGGGTAAAACCATATGATCATTTCAATAAATGCAGACAAAGCATTTGACAAAGTACAACATCCGTTCATGATAAAAAACCCTCTGCAAAGTAGGTCCAGAGGGAATATATCTCAACACAATAAAGGCCATCTATGAAAAGCCCACAGCCAACATCATAATCAATAGTGAAAAACTGAGATCTTTTCCCCTAAGGTCAGGAATAAGACAAGGATGTCCATTCCCAACACTTTTTTCAACATAGTACTGGAAGTCCTAGCCTCAGCAATTAGACAACATAAAGAAATAAAAGGTATCCAATTGGTAAGGAAAAAGTCAAACTCTCACTATCTGCAGGTAACATGATACTATATATAGAAAACCCTAAAGACTCCACCAAAAAACTACTAAAACTGATACATGAATTCAGTAAACTCTTAGGATACAAAATCAATGTTCAGAAATCTGTTGCATTCCTATGCACTAATTATGAAGCAGCAGAAAGAAAATTAAACAACCCCATTTAAAATTGCACCAAAAATAATAAAATATCTAGGAATAAACTTAACCAAAGAGGTGAAAGACCTGTAATCTGAAAACTATAAAACAATGATGAAAGAAATTGAAGATGACACAAAGAAATGGAAAGACACTCCATGCTTATGGATTGGAAGAAGAAATACTGTTAAAATACCCATATTACCCAAAGCAATCTATACATTTAATGTGAACCCTATCAAAATACCAACAGCATTTTCCACAGAACTAGAACAAAAATTCGAAAATCTATATGGAACCACAAAAGAGCCTGATGAGCCAAAGCAATCTTGAAAAAGAAAAACAAAACTGGGGGTATCACAATTCCAGACTTCAAGTTGTATTACAAAACTTCAGCAATCTGGAGAGAAACGGAGAGCTTTCCCCCTAAGGTCAGGAACACAGCAGGGATGTCCACTATCACCATGGCTATTCCTAGTACTAGAAGTCCTAGCCTCAGCAATCAGACAACAAAAAGAAATAAAAGGCATCCGAATTGGCAAAGAAGAAGTCAAACTCTCACTCTTTGCAGATGACATGCTACTCTATGTGGAAAACCCAAAAGACTCCACCCCAAAACTGCTAGAACTCACACAGGAATTCAGCAAAGTGGCAGGATATAAAATCAATGCACAGAAATCAGTGGCATTTCTATACACCAACAATGAAAAGAAAGAGAAATTAAGAAGTTGATCCCATATACAGTTGCACCCAAAACCATTAACATACCTAGGAATAAACCTAACCAAAGAGG